TAATACAAACCCCACTACAAATGCAAGTGTGTGTGTGTGTGTGTGTGTGCGTACTTACATACATTGTGTGTGTATGCGTGCGCGTGCATGAATGCATGTTTGTGAGTGACGGAGAGAGTGTGAGCCTGTTAATGATGGCGACATTAGAGAAAGAGAGAGTTGGGTGTCTCCTAACATGCCTGTTTGTAGCTACATGTTTACTAACTAGTGTCGGTTGTGTTGCATGCCTACTAGAGGGATTCACCTCCTTAACTAACATTGACATCACAATCTTAGCTCCACCCTGTTTGGTAAACGAGAACAGAGGAAGTAGCCCATGAGGGCCTGCAGCCAAATAATATTTCTACTTCTGAATGCTTGTTATTGTTCCTCCATGCTTGGCTCACGATGTTAGCAGGCCGGGCTGTTGTACAAGGCCCGCTATCCTGCACAAGGTCATCCTTGTTATTGGGTGTTCAGTGTAAGACTGGCATCAAGACTAAACATAGATTTAGTGTTGGTGTTTGTGAAAAGCAGAGAAAAGTGAGAGGTTGCTAAGGTCAGTGAGGACATGTGCCTTGAAAAGACAGCGAGACAATGTGTTAGGGGATGTGTCATATTCCTTTACCGTTTTCTTTACTAGCCCTCAGACAAGTGTGTGTGCGCGCATGCGTGTGCACGTGAGTGTGTGTGTGGTGTGCGTGTGTGTATGTGCTTGTGTGTGTGTGTGTGTGTGTGTGTGTGTGTGTGTGTGCATACATGTGCGTGTGTCTGTGTCTGTTTGTGACTGTATTACTGTCTGACCTTGTGTGTTTGGCTCACTGTTGTCTCAGTGAGGATCCATTTTACCCATACAATTCTTTTCCCATTTGGGTGTATTTGTAATTTGTATTTTTTAAGGATCCCCATTAGCTGCTGCCAAGGCAAGGGCACAACAGTAGATGGTTGATAGGAACAGACACAAGCATTCCTCTGATTACTACTGTAGTTATATTCCCACTGTCAGCAGACCCGGGATTTAAACCAGCATCCCTGTGTTATTATTTATGATTCATAAAGGCTTTACAACAGCTTCATTAAGCCTTAACAGATATAGTTTGTTCAAAGTAGAACAGGATTGTGTTACTGTTCTTTTCAGTGGCATGTGTTTTTAGTTTTTCTCAGCTTCATAACTTTCTGTGTGTGTTTGAAATATGAAGCCTGTCTATGTAGCTCTCCTTAGGTAACATAATGAAACGTCAGTCAGTCTCATACTGTATCCTCCTGAGCACAGTAGTATTGGTGCAGAACGTCGCTAACGGTTAGCTGCTAACCATACAGGACTGGGTGGTCTCCTGTTTGGAACGGCGCACATGCACCCCACAGACGATTGCTTTACCCTTCTCATTCATGTTTATGGCTGCCCGTTTTATACTACAACAAACAAGCACAGCCTTAGCATTTCAATCAAGTGGTCTGTTTTTGATGTTTTGTAATATAGCAGTGATGTGGCCATGTGTGATGTGAATGCGGTTACACCACAATTATTTTCACTTTGATGCTGATTAATTAACGGAAGAGTATGCTTATAAGTAGTCTTAATAAGTATAGGCTATGCTTTATGGTTGGATGAACAGCTCAATTTAGTTCTACACTTTGGACAGGAGTGTTCAGTTGGGATAGAAGTGCATAGGGAATGCTCGGTTGCAACGTTCATACAACGTTCCCATAGCAGACCGTTGACTGAATCTCATTGACTGTTGTAGAAGATAATGTGGATCTCTGCTGACAGACAATCAGCGGTTATGTAACTGAACGCTGTACAAACCTGGCTCACCATGTGTCTCAACCTTCCCTGGATCACTTCCCTGGAAACGTTTTGTGCTCTATGGGTTGAACTGTTCTTACACCACCTCACCTCAATTCCTCACTGCAGTAGTCCATGTGCAGGAGGCAGCAGGAGAGGAGACCCATGTGTGCTGAGCATTCAGATATTTGCCTGACAGGCCTATTGCTCAAGCTTTGGGAACACTGTCATTGTGTTGAAACTATGTTGTCAGGACAGGTATTTCAGACAACAAACAGTTTAGAGAGTCTACTAAGGCTTATAGTATTTTAACCCAACACAATGGAAAATACCTGTACCTGGAAAACTGATCAGAATTACAAAATGTATGGAATCCATCATCACCAATAACTCTCCAATGTATGAAAACACAATGGAAGGATATATAATCTATTTTTTGACACCTAAACCCCATCTTCAAGCCTCATTGGAGCCAGACGGCAGAAACCTCAACTAGAGAGAGCCTCCCTCTCTTCCACAATGGAAAGGCTTGTTGCTCTCGTGGTTCTTTACCTGCAGCTCCGGATGTGTATAAGGGACCACGAAGATTAGGTAATGTCGGTTTGAGCATATACACTACAAAAGTATGTGGACACCCCTTCAAATTAGTGGATTCAGCTATTTCAGCCACACCCATTGCTGACAGGTGTATAAAATCAAGCACACAGCCTTGCAATCTCAATAGACAAACATTGGCAGTAGAATGGCCTTACTGAAGAGCTCAGTGACTTTCAATGTGGCACCGTCATAGGATGCCACCTTTCCAACAAGTCAGTTCATAAAATGTATGCCCTGCTAGAGCTTCCCTGGTCAATTGTAAGTGCTGTTATTGTGAAGTGGAAATGTCTAAGAGCAACAACGGCTCATCCGCGAAGTGGTAGGCCACAAAAGCTCACAGAACGGGATCACAGAGTGCTGAAGCGAGTAGCGCGTAAAGATCGTCTGTCCTTGGTTGCAACACTCAATACCGAGTTCCAAATGGCCTCTGGAAGCAACATCTGCACAAGAACTGTTCGTCGGGAGCTTCATGAAATGGGTAAGCCTAAGATCACCATGCGCAATGCTAAGCGTCGGCTGGAGTGGTGTAAAGCTCGCCGCCATTGGACTCTGGAGCAGTGGAAACGCGTTCTCTGGAGTGATGAATCAAGCTTCACCATCTGGCAGTCCGATGGACGAATCTGGGTTTGGCGGATGCCAGGAGAACGCTACCTGCCCCAATGCATAGTGCCAACTGTAAAGTTTGGTGAAGGAGGAATAATGGTCTGGGGCTGTTTTTCATGGTTCGGGCTAAGCCCCTTAGTTCCAGTGAAGGGAAATCTTAACGCTACAGCATACAATGACATTCTAGACGATTCTGTGCTTCCAACTTTGTGGCAACAGTTTGGGGAAGGCCCATTCCTGTTTCAGTATGACAATGCCCCAGTGCACAAAGCGAGGTCCATACAGAAATGGTTTGTCGAGATCGGTGTTGAAGAACATAAAGCCCTGACCTCAACCCCATCGAACACCTTTGGGATGAATTGGAACGCCGACTGAGAGCCAGGCCTAATCGCCCAACATCAGTGTCCATCCTCACAATGCTGTTGTGGCTGAATGGAAGTAAGTCCCCCCAGCAATGTTACAACATCTAGTGGAAAGCCTTCCCAGAAGAGTGGAGGCTGTTATAGCAAAGGGAGGACCAACTCCATATTAATACCCATGATTTGGGAATGAGATGTTCGACGGGCAGGTGTCCACATACTTCTGGTCATGTAGTGTATCAATGGAGGGGAACAAACAGCTAGCTCCCCCAGGCTCTTCAGGTATTTCAAGCAGACATCAGTGTTATCAGTGAGAGCTAGGTCATGTTTCAATAATCTAGAATGGCTTCCTCACCGTATCTCCTTTCCTTGGTGACAACTGATAGGCATGAGGGAAAAGATACAGTCAGGTTTCTACTATATTTCTGTCAGCGTTCATTAAGGACAGGAACATTTTTAAGGAAATTAGGAAAGGAAAATAACATCCTAAGGAAATGAGGCAAGGAAGGGAATCGATGACTATTGGAACAGTGAATCAGAGAGTGACAGGGGCCATTGGGTCCGTGATTCAGGCAGTGACTAGGGGCTACGAGACAGAACAGGTTTCCCCGGTCTGGTCCAGTCGTGCTTGGCTATCTGTAGTCATCTGGTCGGGTCATCGGAGGAGGGAAACGGTAAACGGTTAAACAGCATGAGGGCGGGGAGCTCGGGAGGCTACATTCCAAAACCCTCTGTGCTGTAAAACATGGAGCTCCACTGACTCCACCACTCTGCTACACCAGACTCACTCCTCCTCTCCTCAGCCCTAGTTTGTTTTGCCTCTGCTTTTTGCATGAGTGTGGAACGGCTGCCTGACTGGGAGCTACCACTCTGTCACCACAGGGGCCGCCAGACTCACTGGCCCTGAGAACACAGCATTCTTTTGAAGCCGCAAGCTTCCTGTCTCCCCCTATGTTCTTTCACAATGGACTGTCCCTGAAGTAGAGGTGGTGGGGCAGAGAGAGAGAGAGAGAGAGAGAGAGAGAGAGAGAGAGAGAGAGAGAGATAGAGAGAAGAGAGAGAGAGAGAGAGATCGAGAGAGAGCTCGATACTCTCGCTCGAGCTCTCCGCTCTCGCCGCGCCTCGCGCTCGCACCTCGTAAGAGAGAGAGAGAGAGAGAGAGAGAGCTAGGCAGCGCTCTGGTAGCCTAGCTGATCATTGCTGTGATATTCTGACTGCCACAGCGGCTGAGAGAGAGGGAGCGTGACAGACAGAAAGAGAGAGAGAGAGAGAGAGAGAGAGAAGGCTAGAAGACTAGAAGCCTCTTTCCATTCTATCACCCTTCAAGAAAAGGTTCCCAAATAGAGCATCAACAGCAAAGTGCAGAGTGGAGGGAGTGTCCTGTCTCTTCAGAGGGAGCTGCTCACTAACATGAAGAAGAAAACAGTCCAGAGGAGCTACTACTAGTGGAAGATGTGAAGAACAACTGGTGGTTGATTGAGCCATCTTTAAGAGGGGGAGAAGACAGAAACAACTGGTGGTTGATTGAGCCATCTTTAAGAGGGGGAGAAGAAGACAGAAACAACTGGTTAACCATTGAAGACAACTCAAACCGATAGTGTCTATTGACTCTACTCAGACTAAAGGAGAAAGCCAAAAACATTGTTGTCGAGGATGTCTTGGCTGTCGCCCGTGTCATGGGCCAAGTGGACGTGGACGGCAGTCCGGGGAGCAAGGGAGGGAGAGGAGGCGGAGGGCCAGGAGGTGAAGGAGGAGGATGGACGGCTGCCCCACGGAGGGCAGCGAGAGGAGGAGGAGGAAGAGAGATCTCAAGGCTGCAGGCGAGTGTGTTTGTTGGCTACATTGGAGCCTTGAAGCTTTTTAAGAGCGAGAGACCCACAAGGCAGCTGGAGGGAGAGAGTGGGTGGCGAATGGAGGAAGAGGGAAGGAGCGGGAGAGGGGCACCTGCTTTGCTTTTCCACCTGTGGGGTTTGTGAGTTGGTGTTGTTCTAAAGAGGGGATGAGCAGAAAGATAGAGAGAGAGAGAAAGAAAAATGCATTTGACCGTTAAACAGTAGGGTTCTCCCAAACAATGTTGTGTTAGAGGCTTACTGGTTAATGTATGAGTGTGTGCGAAGTGTGTGTGAGGTGTGTGCGAGGTGTGTGTGAGGTGTGTGAGAGGTGTGTGTGAGGTGTGTGTGAGGTGTGTGTGTGAGTATTTCACCACGCCTCAGGTATTTTATTATTGTCCCACACAACAGACAGGTACAAACGAGTGATGTCATCTTAATAAAGCACACACTGTGCCCTCTGTGTCCCTGTTCCCTGCCTTTACTTGTGGTGTTATCACACAAGGCTGTGTGATAGAGATGGAGAGAGATGAGCGTGCAAATATATATTTTTATAGCAGTGTTTAATTGCTATACCTATAGCACAACATTGAGTGGTGCTGAGTCTTGTTTCCAATCACAGCTACTGCTAGTTGTTTATCAGACGTAGCCAACTGGTTTTGCAAATGACAGCTATGCAAAAGCATTATATTTAAATAAGTATACATACTACAACATGTAGAGTACACATAGTATATTATGTACACAATAGTTTGGTATTTCCAGATATTCTAGTGATATGACCATACTCATCTCTCTCTCTCTCTCTCTCTCTCTCTCTCTCTCTCTCTCTCTCTCTCTCTCTCTCTCTCTCTCTCTCTCTCTTGCTTTCTCGCTCTCTCTCCCTCTCTCTCTCTCTCGCGCGCTCTCTCTCTCTCTCTCTCTCTCTCTTTGTTCCAGTTCGGACTCAGAGGGCCACTTTGAAACCCCAGAGGCTCAGAGCCCTGTCCACGCTCCACTCCAAGTCCCAGGAGAGCTGGAGACCTTCACCACTGACAGAGCAGGTGAGATCACTGCTGCTTGCCTTCAACACAGAGAGAAGTAGGCACAAAACTAAAGAGTGAAGTAGGAACAAAACATGCCAAAAAAAATCACATGCCCATATTCAATTCAATTTAAAAAACGTTGTCTATCCCTGAAGGGGCATGACAGGATACCACAACCATACCATAATGACATACCACACATAGCAACTTCACAGGAAGGGATATTATGCCACAAAATAGTCCCTCACAACATCTACAGTACATGGTATGGCCTTCCGTGACACCTCAACAACCTTTTCACTTCACTCCCACACCCACACACCACTGACTGACCATCATCTGGAGAGAATGCATTAGCTGGCTGGCTTTTTTTGGAGTTTCCATGGCAACAAGAGAGCTTTATCATTCTGTCTGTGCATTTCCTGTGGGGAACCGAGTGTTTGTTTGTTTGTTTGTGTGTGCGTGTGTGTGTGCGCACATGCGCATGGTGCTTCAACTTTTAACATTCCCCTCAGACATGGTTTTCAATAGGCTGTTTTCATGAAAAAAATATACAGTGTTTGGTGGAATCAAGTAGATTTAGTGCTTCAGACCATTTGATGACTGTCGATTAATAATGTTTTCTCAACTGAAACTGCAGATTGCATTTGCTCTCAAAGGACTGCTACTACATTAGATTAAACTGCACCTACTGTTGAGCTATTTTAACTCTGTTCCGTCTGACATGTGACCAAACTGAGGGAAGTGTACCATGCCACTGTAATTGAAGACGTGCTTTGTCTGCCTACCGTACTTTTCTAGGTATGTATCTGACTGTTAGACATTCTTGAAGGCCATTAAAGTTACACAGCACTTAAAGGTTGGTATTAAACTACACAAGTACCTTATTCACACCAACAATTACGCATGTGGTGAGAGAGTAGTCATGGGCTGAATACATAGTACTTTGCCTGGTTGGAAAGATAAAATAAAATCTCCTTGAGGGATGCCATTGAAGTGCAAGCTACATACAAACAGAAAGCTACAATAACAGTTACAGTAGCTAGCTAGCTAGCTAATGTTAGCTAAATAAAAGTGTCTGGCTATCTAGCTGGCTAGCTAGCCAGCTACTGTAGCTGGCTAGCTGACTAGGCAGGCTGAGTTAAATAAGTACAGTAGCTAGCAACGTCAATCTAAAAACAGCTTAAATTATTTATTCCTATTTAACAATATTTACTTATATAAAGACAAATATATGGTAAAGAAAGAGTGTTCTCTTTCCAGTCTTTTCGGTCCTCTGAAGCAGCAGGTAGTCAGCAGGTTGTCACCGTCTTTGGAGAGCAATTCTGAGGTAATAATTTTGCGCGGACTGAGCGAGCATTTATGCGGTGAAATAGAACTGGAACTGCCCGCATCCTCCTTCCTTTGCGACTGCTACGAGGTAAAATAGAGCCAAGCAACCAGCATAGCAACGGACGCTTTGGTTCATTACGTAATCCGGTCAGAATTTTGCAAGTTCTAGCAACAGCCCTAGCAACAGAAGCTAGAACTCATCGAATCCCATTGTGACGCAGAGGGGGACACTATTTGGCCGGGGTACACTATTTGGCATGACAGGCCCCATCAGATAGATTTGGATCTATGGGCCCCATTACTAGAAGTCAGTGAAGCAACAGTAGTTCCCATATTATTCCCAGTCCCAATACTTTGAAGTAGGCTACTTACAATACTTGAAATAATTCATTTCAAACCCTGTCATTGTATGATGTCCAGTACATGTTGGCGATAATTTAGATGGTCTCAAACTCATAGAGACTGCATGCAACGCAACCACGTACCTGTTGGATTTCAGACTGGTTTGGAAGTATATGAGGCAGTGTAGTTTAGTTGGACAGCAGTGCTGCTTTTCACTCTGTCAAATTGTATTTTAAAGTATTTCCATGGCTGTGCTGTAGGTCTTTGATCTTTGAGAGCTTTGTTGTGGTTCACTTCACTGTGTTTTGATATGGGACTCCATCCTCTTGATGTAAAGGCATGGGGCCTCAAACTGCTTTCAATTAAACTGCATAGCATAGGCTAGTATGTTTCCAGGCTAACTTTGCTTGCTCAGGCCTGGGTTAGTGAAAGCATTGTTTGAGAGTGGCGGAGAAAGCTGCTTTCGCTGGCAGCGAGCAGTGAGGGAGTTGCCTTCTGTTCTGTGGAACCACACCCACAAACATCCTCCTGATGTATCCTCACTCCTCACGCAGCCAGCTGTGGAGAATATTGAACTCTGGCTCGCTGGCCATTTAGAAGGGATGGTTCTTGACAGCATGAAGCTAGCCTGGTCCAGGATCTGTTTGTACTGTCTTGCTAATGGTCTGCAGATCTGTTTGTGCTGTATTGCTAATGGTTCCAGACAGTGGCGATTTTAGCATGTAAATCTTGGTTGGGAAAAAAACAAGAAGTGGGATGCATGCTAGCAAAGCCACTACACAACACTAAACAATACATTAATTGCACTATAACGGTGACAAACTGTGCCCACAAACTGTTAGGGCCTACATAAAGCTGTCCCAACAGCAGAGTCCCAACAGCAGTCCCAACACCTTACCACTGCTACACCTGGCTATCAGCGGAGCCTTGTCTGGCAGCGAAACAGTTCATTAAGCCTCATTTACTGCCTCTTTAAAAAACATACAGTGAGGGAAAAAAGTATTTGATCCCCTGCTGATTTTGTACGTTTGCCTATAATTTTAATGGTAGGTTTATTTGAACAGTGAGAGACAGAATAACAACAAAATAATCCAGAAAAACGCATGTCAAAAATGTTATAAATTGATTTGCATTTTAATGAGGGAAATAAGTATTTGACCCCTCTGCAAAACATGACTTAGTATTTTTTTTATTTTTTTTGGTACCTTGTTGGCAATCACAGAGGTCAGACGTTTCTTGTAGTTTGCACACATCTCAGGAGGGATTTTGTCCCACTCCTCTTTGCAGATCTTCTCCAAGTCATTAAGGTTTCGAGGCTGACGTTTGGCAACTCGAACCTTCAGCTCCCTCCACAGATTTTCTATGGGATTAAGGTCTGGAGACTGGCTAGGCCACTCCAGGACCTTAATGTGCTTCTTCTTGAGCCACTCCTTGTTGCCTTGGCCGTGTGTTTTGGGTCATTGTCATGCTGGAATACCCATCCACGACCCATTTTCAATGCCCTGGCTGAGGGAAGGAGGTTCTCACCCAAGATTTGACGGTACATGGCCCTGTCCATCGTCCCTTTGATACTGTGAAGTTGTCCTGTCCCCTTAGCAGAAAAACACCCTCAAAGCATAATGTTTCCACCTCCATGTTTGACGGTGGGAATGATGTTCTTGGGGTCATAGGCAGCATTCCTCCTCCTCCAAACACGGCGAGTTGAGTTGATGCCAAAGAGCTTGATTTTGGTCTCATCTGACCACAACACTTTCAACCAGTTCTCCTCTGAATCATTCAGATGTTCATTGGCAAACTTCAGACGGCCCTGTATATGTGCTTTCTTGAGCAGGGGGACCTTGCGGGCGCTGCAGGATTTCAGTCCTTCACGGCGTAGTGAGTTACCAATTGTTTTCTTGGTGATTATGGTCCCAGCTGCCTTGAGATCATTGACAAGATCCTCCCGTGTAGTTCTGGGCTAATTTGTCACCGTTCTCATGATCATTGCTCCACAAGGTGAGATCTTGCATGGAGCCCCAGGCCGAGGGAGATTGACAGTTATTTTGTGTTTCTTCCATTTGCGAATAACCGCACCAACTGTTGTCACCTTCTCACCAAGCTGCTTGGCGATGGTCTTGTAGCCCATTCCAGCCTTGTGTAGGTCTACAATCTTGTCCCTGACATCCTTGGAGAGCTCTTTGGTCTTGGCCATGGTGGGGAGTTTGGAATCTGATTGATTGATTGCTTCTGTGGACAGGTGTCTTTTATACAGGTAACAAACTGAGATTAGGAGCACTCCCTTTAAGAGTGTGCTCCTAATCTCAGCTCCTAATCCCAGAAATCTTTCTGATTGAGAGGGGGTCAAATACTTATTTGCCTCATTAAAATGCAAATCAATTTATAATATTTTTGACATTCGTTTTTTTCAGGATTTTTTTGTTGTTATTCTGTCTCTCACTGTTCAAATAAACCTACCATTAAAATTATAGACTGATCATTTCTTTGTCAGTGGGCAAACTTATAAAATCAGCAGGGGATCAAATACTTTTTTCCCTCACTGTAGCTGATATGGCTGACTTGCTTAAACACATGTGGTTTCTACTGACAATTGAGATTTACAAACTATGGCATAAGGGGACAACAAGTGGATAAGAGGCAATCCGTAATTTCGATTAAAACATTAATGATCGAGCCAGGACGGACGTTGTCAATATAACTATTTGTTTAGCACTTTTGAAATGTACAGCGACAGAATTCAGAACATGGGCCGTTCTTACAGTGTTCTCCCTGTACACCAAGTCAGAACCGAAGGATAAATAAAGGGGGCATATAAGCAGACAATGAAAGCTCTTACAATATTCGATGATTACATTTATCAAAAACAGGTTACAAGCTACAAGTACAAATTAATCCCAGAACAACAGCAAAGGATCTTGTGAAGATGCTGGAGGAAACAGGTACAAAAGTATCTATATCCACAGTAAAACGAGTCCTATATCGACATAACCTGAAAGGCCGCTCAGCAAGGAAGAAGCCACTGCTCACAAAAACCGCCATAAAAAAGCCAGACTACGATTTGTAACTGCACATGGGGACAAAGATCAAACTTTTTGGAGAAATGTCCTCTGGTTGATTAAACAAAAATAGAACTGCTTGGCCATAATGACCATCGTTATGTTTGGAGGAAAAAGGGGAATGCTTGCAAGCCGAAGAACACCAACCCAACCGTGAAGCACAGGGGTGGCAGCATTATGCTGTGGGGGTGCTTTGCTGCAGGAGGGACTGGTGCACTTCACAAAATAGATGGCATCATGAGGAAGGAAAATTATGTGGATATATTGAAGCAACATCTCAAGACATCAGTCAGGAAGTTAAAGCTTGGTCGCAAATGAGTCTTCCAAATGGACAATGACCCCAAGCATATTTCCTAAGTTGTGCCAAAATGGCTTAAGGACAACAAAGTCAAGGTATTGGATTGGCCATCACAAAGCCTTGACCTCAATCCTATAGAACATTTGTGGGCAGAACTGAAAAAGGGCGGCAGGTAGCTTAGTGGGTAAGAGCGTTGTGCCAGTAACCGAAAGGTCGCTGGTTCTAATCCCCGAGCCGACTAGGTGAAAAATCTGTCGATGTGCCCTTGAGCAAGGCACTTAACCCTAATTGCTCCTGTAAGTCGCTCTGGATAAGAGCGTCTGCTAAATGACAAAAATAAAAATAAATTAAAAGATAAAAAATTAGAAATATAAAAAAAATTAAAAAAAATAAAAAAAAGCGTGTGCGAGCAAGGAGGCCTACAAACCTGACTCGGTTACACCAGCTCTGTCAGGAGGAATGGGACAAAATTCACCCAATTTATTGTGGGAAGCTTGCGGCAGGCTACCCGAAAGGTTTGACCCAAGTTAAACAATTTAAAGGCAATGCTACCAAATACTAATTAAGTGTATGTAAACTTCTGACCCACTGGGAATGTGATGAAATAAATAAAAGCTGAAATAAATAATTATCTCTACTATTATTAGGAATTGTGAAAAACTGAGTTTAAATGTATTTGGCTAAGGTGTATGTAAACTTCCGACTTCAACTGTATGTAAACATACTAATGGCAGATTTGACTTTGCTTAGTGATGATTACAGTAGCTCTAAATATTTGGAATATGAGGATCAACGCTGTATTAAACGCTGTAGCGTATGAATCCCTCCACTCCACTGTATATAAATAATATCAACAAAAAGCAACAGCTCTCTCAACCCATACTCAATCAGTCTGACCTGTTACAGCTTTTCATATTTCCTTATCACAGTTTTCCAGTCACATGAACGCATTGTTATGTTATTAGGTCTTTAAAGAATAGCGTAACCATGGAAACATATGCATGCAACTGATAATTACTGTGGGATTGGTAGCCTTTCTCTTAACCTTTCTTAATATTCATAGCTAGCAACCTGCCTTGAAAAGCTATTTTGTTGAAATTACAGCACACTCCAAATGATATATTTGATCATATTTTGCATTTGTGGCTATGTTTTCTTCTTGTTTTTGAGTCGACTTGTCAAATCCCCTCTCCTGCTTTCACCAGATGCCCTGGAGGAGGAGGATGAACAGCTGACAGTGTCTGGCCCAGCCGGGGATCCAGTTCCTAGCCTCCTCTTTAACCAGAACATGGGTCAGGCCAAGCCCCCCTTGGCCCCTGAGGAGGAGGCCCCGGTGGACTCTAAGGAGGGGCCACAAGCGCTGCCCAACACAACAGACACTGCAGAGGTTCAACCCCCCATAGCAGGCCCACCAGCCCAGGCCAATGGAGCAGCAAAGGCCACTGCTGCTTTAGACTTAGGCCTACCTGAGGAGGATAGACCACTGGCTACTTCTCTAGACTTAGGCCTACATAAGGATGATAGACCACTGGCTACTTCTCTATACTTAGGCCTACCTGAGGAGGATAGACCACTGGCTACTTCTCTAGACTTAGGCCTACCTAAGGATGATAGACCACTGGCTACTTCTCTATACTTAGGCCTACCTGAGGAGGATAGACCACTGGCTACTTCTCTAGACTTAGGCCTACCTGAGGATGATAGACCACTGGCTACTTCTCTAGACATAGGCCTACCTGAGGATGATAGACCACTGGCTACTTCTCTATACTTAGGCCTACCTGAGGAGGATAGACCACTGGCTACTTCTCTAGACTTAGGCCTACCTGAGGAGGATAGACCACTGGCTACTTCTCTAGACTTAGGCCTAACTGAGGAGGCTAGCAGTACAGAGACACTTTGTAATGGACACCCCGTAGAGACCATCCCTGAACCGCAGGCCAAACTCACTGAAACCACTAAAACCACTCCCTCTTCCCTGAAGATAAAGGGAGCCTTTAATGGGGCTAGTGCACAGGGGGACGGGGACAGTGACATCATCCCAGTCCCTAAGGTTAGCTACAACTTCAACCCGGACCAGTTTGACGACAGCTTCAATCCGTTCGCCAGTGGAGGCTCCAAGATTCAGAACTCCCCACCAGCTTTTGCAGCCGATGCCCTGCCCACACTGGAGTCGCTATCTGTACCTAGCTCCCTGTCCACACTGGAGTCTCTACCTGTACCTAGCTCCCTGCCCACACTGGAGTCGCTACCTGTACCTAGCTCCCTGTCCACACTGGAGTCGCTACCTGTACCTAGCTCCCTGCCCACACTGGAGTCGCTACCTGTACCTAGCTCCCTGCCCACACTGGAGTCGCTACCTGTACCTAGCTCCCTGCCCACACTGGGGTCGTTACCTGTATGCAGCTCTTCTCCACCACTTTGTGGGACTAGTTCCTCACCTAAAATGGAGGTTGAGGAGGAAAAAGAGTCAGCGTCGGAGGCATCAGAGGAGCCCAAGCCTGTGAAGATGGAGTTTGGGTTAGACGAGGCAGGCGAGGTAAAAAAAACACAGCCCAGGAGGATGGGTAAAAAGCCCGGCAGCAAGCTCGCCATCAAGAAACCAAGGGCAAAAGCAATTACGACAGCCTCTGCCCCGACGTCGGCACCCGAACCAGTAGTAGCTGAACCGGTAGCAGAGCCAGTTTCAGAAACAACTTCCGAACCGCTTTCCATGCCAGGTGCCTCCTTAAGTTTGGACGATGTTCCAATTCCCAAGTCCACTTATAACTTTGACCCCAACCAGTGGGATGACCCTAATTTTAACCCCTTTGGGGGTGGTGGTGTCAAAATGAGTAGTTCCCTGGTTTTGCCCAAAGGATCCTACAGCTTTGATTCTCAGAACTTTGATGACTCTGTGGACCCCTTTAAGCCGTCTAAAGAGAACGCAACTTCCCAGGATACCCCACTTCCTCCGCCAGCAGAGGAGGCAGTGAAATCAAAGCTGGAGCAGCCCCTGGATGAGGGGAAGAGAACGTGTCAGACTCCAAAGAAAAGCAAGGACAGGATCATCACGTAAGTCCACTACACTCACAGCTCAGCTTTTCAGGACATGTTAATCCAAATTGCATGCATTGCGTTCCACCACTTGTATAGCCTTCTTCATGTTAGTTCTGTTTTCAGAATGTGGATTGTGTTAGTAAGAAGAAAGCATTCCATTTTCTTCCTGTGTCTTTTAAAAACACTTGGCAAGCTTTCAAGTGTATTTTATCAAACAATACTGTCAGAAAGCAAATAAACAGGTTACATATTGCTCATTAGCCTATGTGATACCAAACTTGGCCTCATGGTTCTCACATTAGGCAAGTTAATATATTTTTGCCTTTTGCGAGGCCATTGGCATCATAATGTTTGTGTCAGAAGCCTGCTGTCAAATCCTCACCTCCCCAGCCAACTCCTAGAAACCTAGCTCTTTCATCTCTATTGCTGAGCAGCACACCTCTACTCATTTCTCCTTCTCCTTTTCTCTTTCCCTCATCTTTCATTCACCGCTGTATTCCCTATTGACCCTCTCCCGCCCACCCTACCAACCAACCGCCGCTGTCTGTCTATCATGCACCTTTTCTCTGCTTCTCCTCCCACCTTGTGTTCGTTCGCCTCAGGACAACTGAACAAGTGAAGTTTCTCTGTTTTCTGTTGTAAGTAGTACTTCCTCTTCCCCAACTCAGTCTCTGTCTCTGTCTCTGTCTCTGTCTCTGTCTCTGTCTCTGTCTCACTCTCTCTCTCTCGCGCTCGCTCTCTGGCTTGGTCTGCCATTTTTGCTTTCAGTCCTATTGCATGTGTTGTTATGATGAGAGCTCAGTGAAGGAGCTTTTAGTGTCCTGCACTCCTGCTTGTTGGCACGTGAACCCTCCCCTTAAAAAACATGCCTTCATCAGCTAGTAGGCTATTTCCTTAACCCTCCCGTTGTCCTAGGGTCAAAATGACCCGCCACTGTGTTGAACCAACTTTATTTAATTTTTATATTTTTTGGATCATTTGTGAGAAGGAGGCAGTGATACTTTCTTTAAAGTCTCACTGCCTCCTTCTCACAAATGATCCCAAAAATATAAAAATTAAATGAAGTTGGTTCAACACAGTGGTGGGTCATTTTGACCCTAGGACAACGGGAGGGTTAATGGTTGTCTTGTGAGTCTTTGCAAAGTTAAATAACAGATTTCTATCTGCATAGGATTTTGCATAGTGCTGTGCAACACTTATTAGACCAATGGGAGAATAATGTGTATCAACCACATTTAGACAACAACAGTTTATTAGATACCTGTCCCGAACTATTACATGTTCAGTGTCCCAATAACGAATGCTATATTCTGTATTCACAAATCCTCTTCCTGTGTTCCTCTAGGAATTTGTGTAAGGTGAAGAAGTATGAAAACCAGTCCCTGGTCCTGGATGTCTGCAATCAGGTTTGTGTGTGCCTGCGTGCGTAAGTGTGAGCGTGCGTAAGTGCTTGTGCAATATCAGCTGAATATAACCTTGCTGCAGTGGCACTGCAATGTCCATTACTCAGTAGGTTACCTCACCTACAAACAAACACACACACACACACACACACAGCTTATTTCTCTCATGCTGACAAGTGCATCCCTTTCTCACACACTTATCAGTGTGTCCATAGCACTGCGGTACAGCCCTGGCGTGTTGACAGATGCATGAATCATCACTCGGCACGTGTTTATCAGTCCGTAGATGCCATGTGCCATCAAGTTTTATCGCATCCCATAACACTCCAATTGACTACTAAACTACCTCAAGTGAAACACCAAATGTACTGCTTTGAGAAACAAAACAAAAATATAGTAGAAATTAAGTGCTGTTTGCATGTTAAAATGCATATGGAATGCACCTTGCAATATTGCGGCATTGTTTACGTTTTTGGTTGGTGGACTCTCTATGCACATTTTACAGTGTGGCTCAGTAGTTCCCAATCTGTGGTTCCTATCCCAGCCTACCAGATGGAATACATTCAATTCAAAACAATAATGACACCATGGGTGTTCTATCTGGCTGTAGGCTGACGGTATACTGGCACTCTATTCTCTTGTTTAAAGGAAGATGATGCGGTGGTGTCACAGGTCCAAGAAATGCCCCGCCGCGTTCGCCACGCCACCGATGAGGAAAAGCTGGCTTGCAGTGGCATCATTGGCCAGAAAGCCAAGGAGGAGGAGGCCAGGGTGGAGGTGGAGGAGGAAGAAGACTCAGTGTGTGCCAAAAGCCCAGCTAAAGGCCCAACCAAAGGCCTGGCCATCACAGACAATGTCAAAAGCCAGGCACTGCTGGATGGTACGTTTGGTTTGGCTCTCAGGGCATTCTTTAGATTTATTCAATGGCCAAGGTGTAGTCAAAGGCACTCTGTTTAAAAGTCTTAAAGGGCTAGAAAACAAAAAACAAAACTTAATGCCAGCAGTCTTAGACAATCCATTAGATTAGCTCCATTAGATTACACTTGAGTACAGACAAAGCAGAAAAGCAGTTTCTGAAGAGTCTCTGGGATTCTAGTCTCATATTAGTTTTTACTGCCACCTATTGGCCATTGAATCAAGCGTTGAGTAAATTACTTTTACATCTCCATCCCATGATACTTATTAATGTATTATTTTCTTCCCCTCAGGGCCACTGGCGGGGATAACACACTGTATGGAGGAAAAGGACATTTGCATTTCCGTAAGTAGGCCTAGATCTTTTGATTTGTCTGTAAGATTTGTTATGCTTTTTCAATAGAAGCCAGTTTGCATTACAGCACAGATGGACATGTTTTGTCCTTGGTGTCTACAGAGTGAAGAGCTGTCAATCACCCCAGGGCCAAAGTTGAGTGGCTGCGAGGGTCACGATGACAAAGGCAGTCCCTCCTCCATGGATACCATATTGCTCAATGAGATGGACAAAGCAGCGGTGCTCACCTTGATCAGAGAGGAGGTATAGTAACTGACCAATAGTGGTTATTATTCCAAGCTGAAGAGACCTGGTTCATGTTCATTAGGCACCAAATTGAAGAAAACGGACTGAAATAGGGAGGGACTATCTGGACATATCTAATTAGAAATGCTAATTTGTGTTTCCCGTTGCCTGCCCTAATGAACACAACCTACAGTGGGGAGAACAAGTATTTGATACACTGCCGATTTTGCAGGTTTTCCTACTTACAAAGCATGTAGAGGTCTGTAATTTTTATCATAGGTACACTTCAACTGTGAGAGACGGAATCTAAAACAAAAATCCAGAAAATCACATTGTATGATTTTTAAGTAATTAATTTGCATTTTATTGCATGACATAAGTATTTGATACATCAGAAAAGAAGAACTTAATATTTGGTACAGAAACCTTTGTTTGCAATTATAGAGATCATATGTTTCCTGTAGGTCTTGACCAGGTTTGCACACACTGCAGCAGGGATTTTGGCCCACTCCTCCATACAGACCATCTCCAGATCCTTCAGGTTTCGGGGCTGTCGCTGGGCAATACGGACTTTCAGCTCCCTCCAAAGATTTTCTATTGGGTTCAGGTCTGGAGACTGGCTAGGCCACTCCAGGACCTTGAGATGCTTCTTACGGAGCCACTCCTTAGTTGCCCTGGCTGTGTGTTTCGGGTCGTTGTCATGCTGGAAGACCCAGCCACGACCCATCTTCAATGCTCTTACTGAGGGAAGGAGGTTGTTGGCCAAGATCTCGCGATACATGGCCCCATCCATCCTCCCCTCAATACGGTGCAGTCGTCCTGTCCCCTTTGCAGAAAAGCATCCCCAAAGAATGATGTTTCCACCTCCATGCTTCACGGTTGGGATGGTGTTCTTGGGGTTGTACTCATCCTTCTTCTTCCTCCAAACACGGCGAGTGGAGTTTAGACCAAAAAGCTATATTTTTGTCTCATCAGACCACATGACCTTCTCCCATTCCTCCTCTGGATCATCCAGATGGTCATTGGCAAACTTCAGACGGGCCTGGACATGCGCTGGCTTGAGCCTGGGGGACCTTGCGTGCGCTGCAGGATTTTAATCCATGACGGCGTAGTGTGTTACTAATGGTTTTCTTTGAGACTGTGGTCCCAGCTCTCTTCAGGTCATTGACCAGGTCCTGCCGTGTAGTTCTGGGCTGATCCCTCACCTTCCTCATGATCATTGATGCCCCACGAGGTGAGATCTTGCATGGAGCCCCAGACCAAGGGTGATTGACCGTCATCTTGAACTTCTTCCATTTTCTAATAATTGCGCCAACAGTTGTTGCCTTCTCACCAAGCTGCTTGCCTATTGTCCTGTAGCCCATCCCAGCCTTGTGCAGGTCTACAATTTTATCCCTGATGTCCTTACACAGCTCTCTGGTCTTGGCCATTGTGGAGAGGTTGGAGTCTCTTTGTTTGAGTGTGTGGACAGGTGTCTATTATACAGGTAACGAGTTCAAACAGGTGCAGTTAATACAGGTAATGAGTGGAGAACAGGAGGGCTTCTTAAAGAAAAACTAACACGTTTGTGAGAGCCGGAATTCTTACTGGTTGGTAGGTGATCAAATACTTATGTCATGCAATAAAATGCAAATGAATTACTTAAAAATCATACAATGTGATTTTCTGGATTTTTGTTTTAGATTCCGTCTCTCACAGTTGAAGTGTACCTATGATAAAAAATTACAGACCTCTACATGTTTTGTAAGTAGGAAAACCTGCAAAATCGGCAGTGTATCAAATACTTGTTCTCCCCACTGTAGGTAGCGCCAAGAGCTAGCCCTCTGAGCTAAAGGACCAGTTCCCTATTATACCATAGTAAACATACTCAAACTCTCAACAAGTACTGATGTAGGATCTTCATTTAATCAACCTGTTGCAGAAAATGTCAAATGTGTTTATTTTAGGTTTTAAAAGGTTTCTGAAGTTTGTAATTTCCACTTTGAAATTTCAGACTTGATTTTCCCTTACAAAAAAATCAACCCCTACAAAAATGTCCATTAATTATAATCCATATAATAATTCACATTTCCTGTTGCTGCAGGATTATTTTCCTGCTGTAGCAAACTGGCTCAAATTAAGATCCTACATTTGTAGCAAGCAACTGGATGCCTGTCAAGCCTCTGTTAAGCATAGTGTTTTCTCCCCAACAGATAATCACTAAAGAGATAGAAGCCAACGAGTGGAAGAGAAAGTATGAAGACAGCCATATGGAGGTGTTAGAGATGAGGTATTATATGGCACTATTGTTTTAGTTTGACATAATTCAAAGTTAATCATATATAATACAGGCAAACTCACAAGAAACCTTTTAGACTGAAAATAAACATTTTTATTTTTACTTATATCTCTCCTTGTGTTGATTCATCTCTTGTAGGAAAATAGTGGCGGAGTATGAGAAAACAGTTGCACAGATGATTGGTAAGTTCTTGAGGAGTTCATTATCTGCACTGATATGAAATCACGGGATAGGTGAAAGCAATATAGTGGATACCTACCAGCTTATTACTTTCAACGGTCCATTTAATTCCACATCAGTGCAAATTCATGGAACTAGACAATGATAACAAGCCTATTTAGACTATTGAGACATCCTTGTACCCTGAGTCACTGTTTGGACGTATCTCAACCTGGTGACCTTTGACCTGTAAACTTTGCAGAGGATGAGCAGCACAAGAGGAGTGTCCTGGGCTCCCAGAAGAGTGTCCAGCAGGTGACCCTGGAGCGGGACCAGGCCCTGGCTGACCTCAACTCTGTGGAGCGCTCGCTCTCTGACCTCTTTAGACGCTACGAGAACATGAAGACCGTCCTGGAAGGCTTTAAGAAGGTATGTGTTAACGTGAGACTAGAGAGAAGGTTTAAGAAGGTATGCGTGATATCAGTGGAGGCTGGTGGGAGGAGCTATAGGCGGACGGGCTCATTGTAATGGCTGGAATGGAATAAATGGGACGGAGTCAAACATCGTTTCCATATGTTTGATGTGTTTGATACCGTTTCATGTATACCATTCCAGCCATTACAATGAGCCCACCTTCCTATAGCTCCTCCCACCAGCCGCCTCTGCGTGACTTGTCTTAAAGTTACACTAGCGAGGTTCACTCACTATACTTGGATGACTGTTGAGTTGAAGTAAACCTTTCTGTCTGTCCATGTTGTATTCTGTGTTTTACTTCATGTTTTCATTCTTCTTTATCTGACCCTTTATCTGACCCTTTATTATCATTACTTGTAATGGAGAAATACCAACCCGCCAAAACCCGCCAATACATTCAGTTGAATTAGGTTTCAGATCTGTCTGTGTGTGTATCCAGAATGAAGAGATGCTGAAGAAGTGTGCCCAGGAGTATTTGGTCCGCATCAGACAGGAGGAGCAGAGATACCACACTCTCAAGATCCACGCGGAGGAAAAACTAGACAAGTAAAGACAGACACATACACTTTTTTGGTTTATAATCTTAAATACACTATATATATCACTGACCACCTTCCGGAGACACTTGAAACCCTACCTCTTTAAGGAATACCTGGGATAGTATAAAAGTAATCTTTCTACCCCCCCCCCCCCCTACCCCTACCCCTACCCCACCCCCACAAAATATAAAATAATAATAAATAAATAAAATGTTTAATGTAAAGTGGTTGTCCCACTGGCTATCATAAGGTGAATGCACTAATTTGTAAGTCGCTCTGGATAAGAGCGTCTGCTAAATTACGTAAATGTAAATGTAAATATATACAAAAGTATGTGGACACCCCTTCAAATTAGTGGATTCAGCTATTTCAGCCGCACCTGTTGCTGACAAAATCGAGCACACCGCCATGCAATCTCCATAAACAAACATGGCAGTAGAATGGCCTTACTGAAGAGTTCAGTGACTTTCAACGTGGCACCGTCAACAAGTCAGTTCTGACCTGCTAGAGCTGCCCTGGTCAACTGTAAGTGCTATTATTGTGAATTGGAAACATCTAGGAGCAACAACTGCTCAGCCGCAAAGTGGTAGACCACACAAGCTCACAGAACGGGACCGGCGAGAGCTGAAGCACATAGAGCGTAAAGATTGTCTGTCCTCGGTTGCAATACTCACTACCAAGTTCCAAACTGCCTCTGGATGCAACGTCAGCACAATAACTGTTTGTCGGGAGCTTCATGAAATGGGTTTCCATGGCCGAGCAGCCGCACACAAACCTAAGATCACCATGCGCAATGCCAAGAGTAGAGCTCACCGCCATTGGACTCTGGAGCAGTGGAAATGCGTTCTCTGGAGTGATGAATCACGCTTCACCATCTGGCAGTCGGGACGGACTAATCTGGGTTTGGTGGATGCCAGGAGAACCCTACCTGCCCCAATGCATAGTGCCAACTGTAACGTTTGGTGGAGGTGGAATAATGGTCTGGGGCTGTTTTTCATGGTTTGGGCTAGGCCCCTTAGTTCCAGTGATGATAAATCTTAATGCTACAGCATACAGTAACATGCTAGACGATTCTGTGCTTCCATTTTGTGGCAACAGTTTGAGGAAGGCCCTTTCCTGTTTCAGCATGATAATGCCCCCGTGCACAAGGCGAGGTCCATACAGAAATGGTTTGTCTGGATCGGTGTGGAAGAACTTGACTGGCCTGCACATAGCCCTGACCTAAACCCCATCGAACCCCTTTGGGATGAATTGGAACACCGACTGCGAGCCAGGCCTAATCACCTAACATCAGTGCCCGACCTCACTAATGCTCTTGTGGCTGAATGGAAGCAAGTCCCTGCAGCAATGTTCCAACATCTAGTGGAAAGCCTTCCCAGAAGAGTGAAGCCTGTTATTGCAGCAAAGGGGGGACCAACTCCATATTAATGCCCATGATTTTGGAAGGGGAAGGACTGCCTGTTCCATGATCTCGCCATCACGGTTGACAACTCCGTTGTGTCCTCCTCCCAGAGTGCGAAGAGCCTTGGCGTGACCCTGGACAACACCCTGTCGTTCTCCGCTAACATCAAGGCGGTGACCCGATCCTGTAGGTTCATGCTCTACAACATTCGGAGAGTACGACCCTGCCTTACACAGGAAGCGGCACAGGTCCTAATCCAGGCACTTGTCATCTCCCGTCTGGATTACTGCAACTCGCTGTTGGCTGGGCTCCCTGCCTGTGCCATTAAACCCCTACAACTCATCCAGAATGCCGCAGCCCGTCTGGTGTTCAACCTTCCCAGGTTCTCTCACGTCACCCCGCTCCTCCGCACACTCCACTGGCTTCCAGTTGAGGCTCGCATCTGCTACAAGACCATGGTGCTTGCCTACGGAGCTGTGAGGGGAACGGCACCTCCGTACCTTCAGGTTCTGATCAGTCCCTACACCCAAACGAGGGCATTGCGTTCATCCACCTCTGGCCTGCTGGCTCCCCTACCTCTGCGGAAGCATAGTTCCCGCTCAGCCCAGTCAAAACTGTTCGCTGCTCTGGCACCTCAATGGTGGAACAAGCTCCCTCACGACGCCAGGACAGCGGAGTCACTCACCACCTTCCGGAGACATTTGAAACCCCACCTCTTTAAGGAATACCTGGGATAGGATAAAGTAATCCTTCTACCCCCCCCTTACCCCAACCCACCCCCCCCATCCCCCCCCACCCCCCCCCAAAAATACATAAATAAATAAATAACATTGTAAAGTGGTTATCCCACTGGCTATAAGGTGAATGGACCTATTTGTAAGTCGCTCTGGATAAGAGTGTCTGCTAAATGACGTAAATGTAAATGTTCGATGAGCAGGTGTCAACATACGTTTGGTCATGTAGTGTATATTCCTATCAGCTAGCCTATTGTTAATTTGGTACAGTACACAGTGGAGGGAAGATATGTTTCTATGGATCTCCCTCTGCCCTTCCTTTGAAGGTATTTTATTTTTCATTATTTTCTTTCTCTAACGTTTCCCTCTCTGCTGTGTTGCAGGGCTAATGAAGACATAGCCCAGGTGCGCTCCAAGGCCGACTCAGAGAGTGTGGCTCTTCATGCCAGCCTGCGGAAGGAGCAGATGAAGGTGGACTCCTTGGAGAGAGCCCTCCACCAGAAGGTACTTGACAGCATTTACTTGACTTACTCCCCTTAGGGAAATATTTATGTAGAATAGGGTTGAATATTTTCCCGGTATTTTACAAATGTTCCATCCCGAGAATAAATCACTTTTCTCCAGGGTAACCCAGTATTTCCCGCCAAAACACCGGAAGTGTCATTCAAAACCATTATAAATCAAATAAATAGACTTAAGTCTGGATTTGATTAGAGCTTTGATCGAAAATCCAAGCCTGATGCAACCTGAGCCTGATTAAATACATTTTATGAGCCCTACATTAAAGACATTTTATCATTTAGTGAGCCCAAGCCCAAAAAAGGCCAAATGATTATGCCATTATCCAATACAGCTACTGCACATTACGCACGACAGAAAAACATAAAAGCACATAGATGTAGCTATGCAATGAGTAAATAAATGAATCAAGCTCCAGTAATCTTTTTGAGTGTGAACTGTATTACTGTACTGTATTGTATTATACTGTATTATATGGACTGGAATTACGGATCTTGTTCAAACCATGATAAAGCTGAGAGAACATGCGATTCTGGTGCAGCACATGCGGCCTACAAATGTATAAGTATGGCTAGTCAATTTGATTTTAATTATATTTCCCCTAATGTTATTAGCCTACCTCCTCTTTCTCTCTCTAGTGTTGCTTCATTCCTTCCTCGCTTTCAACAGTTAAATTAAATACGTTTCGTTGTCCTTATCTTCATCATTCTAATGAAATGCTTGAATAATATAGGACTAGAATGAGATGCAGAAGTCTTTCACTTCTCTTCACGAGGATTGTATGGTTATGGGTCTGAATAAATAACTGCTATAGCCTACCGCCATCGTGCGTTCGCTCTTCTTTCAGACTACCCGTGAGTTCTATTGGCTGTTGTATTTAACATTCAGCAAACAAGAGCTTGCGCCCATCTTCGAATAGTTTATTGGTATAAAACATGCAAAAAAAAAGAATGTCCAGCAAGCTATTCTAGTCTAGCTTTTCCTGCATGGGACTCCAAGCGCTAAGGAGCCTTTTTCACAGCGAGAGGTCAGCGGAGCACAGGTGCTTCGTATTGCGCAAGAGACAGAGGCTATAAATTAGAAGCTTATTATGCATAATTCATCATTCACTATCTAAATATAAGGCTAATACTGCATTGATATTATTACCTGAAAGAGGTAGGCTAGGACATCTATATATAGGGCTATATATCAATCTTGAACAGTATGATCTATTTTGGATGCAATTTGAATGGAATTGATGGAGAGAGAGACTGTGAGTGAGTGCTCGCTCGTGCTCTGATTTAAAGCAACGATATAGGAGTGTTTTAAAACTCTGCAGCTGCAATATAAAACAAATCATTAAAATAAGGAGATCCCCGAAAGCCAGATGGAGATGTGTAAATTAGATGCGCATTCAGTATTTATATTACTGTAGCATAGGCTATGCTGCATCAGATGTAGGCCTACCTGTCACAATAAAAAAAGTTACAATGATGAGATGATAGGTCTACCTACAGAGAGGCTGTCGGTCCCCACACTGAGCGTTGAGGATTCATCATGCAGTGACCACAGAGGCCATAGAGAATCCAGATTTAGACATCTCATATAATTTAACAGTTCCATTTCACGTCATGCTGTTCATATAAATAATTAATTATAATTTACCGGGTACTTGCAGTTATTTATCCCGGGGAAAAGGAGTGGTTTTGGGCTGTACATTTCGGTACATTTCAATAAATCTCGGTAACCGGGTTCCCGCCATTCAACCCTACTGTAGAACTCATTCATAGTAAAAGACTGGACACATAACTGGATACAATAATTGTGTTAATTATCAGTGGCTTCCAATGACAAGAGAACCCCTCTATCAGAATGTAAGAATCACTGATAGTAAAATAATAACCAAGCCATCTAATTAGTTATCTAGGGTTTCAATGAGAAGCGCAGAATTGCACATTTGTACCTTGATTGAACAATCTCTCGGCTCTCTCTGTTCTACCCAGAATCAAGAAATCGAGGAGCTCACAAAGATCTGTGATGAACTAATAGCAAAGCTCGGGACATCAGACTGATGCCTGATATCAACAACTTTGGAGTTGTTGGATGAACTGTTCAACCAACTTCTCTCCCCTCTGCCTTACCAGTGCAGCCAAGGCCTAACCATCCCCACTGCAGCTAGCAGGCAAATGACTGTACACACTTCTACACAATCTGAACCCATCTCTGCTATTATTACTCAAACACACAGCGAGTGACTGCAGTAATCACCCCTATTGTTTCCCGATTGGAACAAATAAACATCGAAACAGCAATGAGTATATATATATATTTTTTTATGACCAATTAAGTATTGATGTTGCAATTTGTAATGTTCATGTGCCGCTTTGATGCGCATGTAGGGCCACATCTTAAATTATGCAAATTAAGGTTAAGGTATGGACCTTACTGTCAATTTCTACCTATTGTAAGTGAAACTATGGGAAGGAACTGCTAGCTAGTAACCTGTTGTGTTGCACACTGTGTGTACGGTGTGTTTGTAAAGTGTGTGCCCCATCATGGATTATCGTGTACCACATCATGGATTATCGTGTACCACATCATGGATTATCGTGTACCACATCATGGATTATCAGTGTTGAAGGAAGAGACAGAGACATGTGTTCCAGAGAGGGTGTGGGGGATATTCTTTTGATACAGAGAAAGAGATCAACAATCAATCAGTTGGTGGCTCTCTTTTTGCGTTTGCATGTGTTCCACAGGTTTAGACTTTACACAATCATCCTGCTGCTATTCTAGTTGGAGATGGAGTGCGATATGTTTTGTTGTTGTTGTTGATTATATATCATTTCTGTCTCTTCTTGTTTGATCTTCTATTGTTCTGTATGTTTGTTTGATCCCTTTCTTTAGGGAGGGCAATGCTTTTAGGGGTATGCTAGTATAAATCTGGTCATTATTCTTTCCATTATGGGACAATATATAGACAATATATAGTCTTTAATCCATATTCCTTGTGTTTTACAGTTTAGCCCATGTAGCCTATAACTAAAGAGCACTATTCTCTGACCTCATCATAGCACGTAATATTACACAAACAGCTTAACAAAGCTATCAGTGGAGTAATGACATGCCCTGTTTCACTCTCTTTAAGAATGGTTTGAAACTGCAATGTTGTTTTTTCTCCTTTATTTTAGCTAGACACAGCATAGGGAGCTGTGGTTACATTGATTGGCTTTCTGCACTGCAGCCACAGTTAAGTTTATCTCTAGGCCTTGGGAAAACAGGACAAATATCTTCCATCATCACCATAATACATGGGTTGCCAAATGTTTCCCCTCAAAGCCTATCACTGTGGTAGTGTTACAGGCTCAATACCAGTCATTACTAGAGATTATGATGGATCTGTAAACTGTTTCATTGCAGATGTGGATGCTTGTTTAGATAGATGTTCTCAGAGCTATCAAAAAGCAAACTGGTCGCCCAGCATAGCAACTGTTTGTTCAATGTTATAACAATATATAGGACCAGTTCCAAACTACCCTTTAAGACTACAAGGACCTATAGTATGTGGACATGGAACTTGGAGAAGCCCACATGGTTCTACCTGGGTCATCGTTAGGGAGTCTTTGCCTTATCATACCTATTTCATGGATCATCATCATCATCATCATCAGTACAGTACAATCCACTGCCAAATGTTAATATTTTGCCAAATCAAAGGCTCTTTGAAGCTGCTTTTAATTGTCTATTACTGCAGTATGTGTACATTTTATATTGTATGAAAATAATATTATTTTATTTTAATCTCAGTATTTGTAAAGAGGACAGAAGGACAGAAATGTGATTTTATTATGTTTACTGATAAACTGTATATTGTGTGCAGAAGACATACCCTGAATAAAGGTTATCATGATTAATGTTATACTGTGAACTGTGTAGCGCACTGGACAGCAGACATTGTGCCTTAAGCTTCAAGGTCCAATGGAGCCCTTTTTATCTCAATATCAAATCATTTCTGGGTCTTGCTTTAATAACACTCAGTGACAGTCAACTTCAACAGTGTCATAACGTTCAAAATCATCCATCAAAATGCCATTGACATATGAAATGACTATTTAAAACAAAATATTGTTATATACAGTATATACATAGAATTTTACTTTAATGTGCTTGCTTCAGCAAAATCTGTGACATCTAAATTCCACTCAGTGTAACTTAGTTCATAAAAAAACTGAATTGTGTTGACATTTGACAAGTAAACATTCAACAAATGCCAATATTTACAGTATAACCACCAGGGAATTAAAGCAATAACAAGAACATATCTGATTTCAAAATGAATGACACTGTATGTGTGTGTGTGTGTGTGTGTGTGTGTGTGTGTACATGCTTGCATGCCTACAGGGAAAGGTATTTCATGTCACATATCTCATTTCACTTGAACAGAAGTTTGACTCAGGTGTTCCTAAAGGAGACTATTTGACCTGGCACAGTGACATTGACGTCCCAACCATAAACCCTGGGTAGAGGGGCTCAGTGACTGTGGTGTGGAATGTCTGCAGGTGGGTCAGTGTGTCAGAGGAGACGCTGTAGAAGGACAGAGTGCCAGGCAGTCAGTCCAGATACACTCCTACTCTTTTGCGCCTGGCAATGTAACTGTCACTATAGAACCCCAGACTCCAAGATATGTTATTGCGTCCAAGCACATAGACATTAGAAGAGTTGTTTCTTTTATAGGTCACTGCTATAACTGTTTTCCCACTCCACTCTACCTCCCAGTAACAGCGCCCAGGAAGACCCTTTCTACACAGCACCATTGGCCAGTCTTTAAATCTGTCTAGGTGATCAGGATACGGCTGCTCCTCTTCCACCCATGTCACCTTTCTGTTCTCCTCAGATAGAATGAGCTTTCTGTATGCTATGTTTGGGTCCAGTGTGAGTTCACAGGCATCTGGGGAAAACAAGACACAACATATTGTGTTGGGAATACAATTACAATTCAAGTGGGAATACGTTACAATTCCCACCAAGTGGGTTAACCCTATTGGCGCAATGTGTAGAGTGATTTACTTTCACAGCAGCGACCAAGGTTTGCTTCCCTGCCCCGCCATTTGCTGCATCGGTGTCAGAAGTGGGATGGCGGCTGTGAGGCCATCGGAACGCACAGCCGGACGTGTTAGGGGGCTAATGTGGTTGAAGCATGGGATGTGAGGGGGCAGTATACCAAGTGGGTTAACCTTATTTGTGTGATGCGTAGGGTGTTTTCCTTTCATGCCAGTGGCACGGGTTCGCTTCCCAGCCCCACCATTTGCTATAATATTACAAATCATGTTTATGGAATCGAGCCAACCATAGATTATTGCTCTCCAGCTATGTATCATAAATAAATAATTAGCTGATGTCTGACTGTAGACCGAACTCTGAATTCAGCACTCCTTCATTCTTTGGCTGTAATCAATAATTACAGAATGTTTATTCTAGGAAGGAACAATCTGGAACTTGAATCAGAATCTTTGTGGTTTCAGATCAATCTCCCAAATTTCAGCTCAATACATTTTAGCTATACACAGTAAGTTATTCCTCAAAGCAGTCATCACTCCACACTGTAGGGAAAAAAACGGACCATGATACAGTATCACACTTACTTACACATGTATGCGCAAACAAACACACGCACAAATACGCGCGCACACGCACACACACACACACACACACACACACACACACACACCACAGGAGGTTGGTGGCACCTTAATTGGGGAAGACGGGCTTGTGGTAATGGCTGGAGCGGAATTGGTGGAATGGTATCAAATACATCAAACACATGGTTTGATGCCATTCCATTCACGCCGTTGCAGCCATTATTATGAGCTGTCCTCCCCACAGCAGCCTCCACTGATACACACACACACACATGCATGGTCTACCAGTGTGTCACATGAAGACAGATTCACACAAACCCTCAACCTACAGTGAGGGAAGTATTTGATCCCCTGCTGATTTTGTACGTTTGCCCACTGACAAAGAAATGATCAGTCTATAATTTTAATGGTAGGTTTATTTGAACAGTGAGAGATAGAATAACAACAAAAAAATCCAGAAAAACGCATGTCAAAATAAGTATTTGACCCCCTCTCAATCAGAAAGATTTCTGGCTCCCAGGTGTCTTTTATACAGGTAACAAGCTGAGATTAGGAGCACACTCTTAAAGGGAGTGCTCCTAATCTCAGCTTGTTACCTGTATAAAAGACACCTGTCCACAGAAGCAATCAATCAATCAGATTCCAAACTCTCCACCATGGCCAAGACCAAAGAGCTCTCCAAGGATGTCAGGGACAAGATTGTAGACCTACACAAGGCTGGAATGGGCTACAAGACCATCGCCAAGCAGCTTGGTGAGAAGGTGACAACAGTTGGTGCGATTATTCGCAAATGGAAGAAACACAAAATAACTGTCAATCTCCCTTGGCCTGGGGCTCCATGCAAGATCTCACCTCGTGGAGTTGCAATGATCATGAGAACGGTGAGGAATCAGCCCAGAACTACACAGGAGGATCTTGTCAATGATCTCAAGGCAGCTGGGACCATAGTCACCAAGAAAACAATTGGTAACACACTACACCGTGAAGGACTGAAATCCTGCAGCGCCCGCAAGGTCCACCTGCTCAAGAAAGCACATATACAGGCCCGTCTGAAGTTTGCCAATGAACATCTGAATGATTCAGAGGAGAACTGGGTGAAAGTGTTGTGGTCAGATGAGACCAAAATCGAGCTCTTTGGTATCAACTCAACTCGCCATGTTTGGAGGAGGAGGAATGCTGCCTATGACCCCAAGAACACCATCCCCACCGTCAAACATGGAGGTGGAAACATTATGCTTTGCGGGTGTTTTTCTGCTAAGGGGACAGGACAACTTCACCGCATCAAAGGGACGATGGACAGCGCCATGTACCGTCAAATCTTGGGTGAGAACCTCCTTCCCTCAGCCAGGTCATTGAAAATGGGTCGTGGATGGGTATTCCAGCATGACAATGACCCAAAACACACGGCCAAGGCAACAAAGGAGTGGCTCAAG